AGATGAATCTTTTTGCTTTCTAGGAAAGTTGTGGTCCATGTTGGCCATCCGTCAGACCAGATCCACGTTCACCCACGAGGCAGCTCCTGCTCCCAAACAGCTCAGACAAGGGACAGGAGGGACACGATGGGGTGAAGGCACCAGGATCTCTCTTGCCCCCCCACACAGCTCCACAGGCACCCCACACCCAGTTTCTCGGAAAACTTGAGCTTAAAAACTAGCTAGGGCAACCAGGTAGCAGCAGATTCACCACCAGCCCCGCTCACCAAATTCAACAGCTCAAAACCCAAAGCAATGCACAGCACTAACAGCAGTTTTGCAGAGCCCACAGCCCCATCCCTGCAGCTGGCTCCCTCTGCAGGGCCATTTACCTGGGTGAGCCATTTGATTTTTGGTCCTGGCATTCATCAGGGAAAAAACAAAACAAAACCCAAAACACAACCAACCCACCACTCTAGCTCCTGAGGCTCATTTCACACCCCTCAGAGGCAGCAGATCAGCAGCTCCGATCACACAGCTGCCTCATCCTCTGACCCAGGACCACGCCATGTCCTGGGAAGCTGTTACAGCTCTTCCTCCACTTCAATCCCACCCGCTGGCTTGAAGCTACACACAGCCACACCACCAGAGCGGGCAGAAGGCCTGAGCCCACAGGGCCCATAGAAGTTTTGGGAAGTGCAGGTACATGTACAAGCACTTCAGCAACTCTGCTGCTCTGTTAAAACATTAATTCGCATCCCAAAGAGCTGGAGATGTTCCATTACTTACAAAGGCTATCAAAGTCAAGCAGCATCACACCCCGAGACAAACCTCCAGCTCCTTCCTCTGCACCAACAGTGATGTTTTTCTTTTTCCTTGCTAGCCCATGTGTGCGGGACAATATTCAGCTTTTAATTATACATTGAGCAAGTGCCCCGCACTTTTACTGTGGAAATAAAATCCTGGAAAGGATTATGGGTCTGAAGACTGACAGACCCTGTAGAACCGAGGCAAAAACCTGTGCCGCAAAGGGATCTTAGCCTCTCTTTTTAACAGGAGCTGAATGTGGTTCTTTTTAGCATTCATTTCTTTTCTATTCTGGCTAGTAAAAGGTATTTCTCAGTCATTGTAGCAAAAAATATCAAGGACAGGGATGATGAATGTCTTCTTGCAGCCTCTGGGACCTACCAGCAGCAACCGGCTGCTTCTCATCAGCCTATTGCACAAACAGTTTTAAAATGCAGTATTACTCAAATTAAGAGGATCTTATCAAATAAACACGCTGCACAAATCAAAGCCCATAAGACCTGGGTCCAATACTAGAAGAATTACTAATTCAGGACTTCCACTTGAGCAGACTTTGGGTATATTTGGCACAGGGAAGCCAGAAATAGACTGTACAGCCTTCAACCTCCTGGTTGCACCCGTAACACCATGGGGAACCAGCTGATGCCTCGGTCAGTGCTTTGGCACTCTATACAGATAAAGGCATCCAGCAAGTTTCACTGCCTGAGTAACACCTTAGAATATCTCTGTGTCCCACCACCTCTGCAGATGAGCCATAAAGCAGCCAGGGTGAGTCAGACCATTCATCTCAGGCTCTCCTGCAGGATCAAGATCTTACTCCTCATTGACAAGGAAATTTGAGGGCTGTGGTCTGGGGAAACTCCACCTGAAAAGGAGTCACTGCCTTGGAGGGGTGAGACTCACCAGCTTCACATCAGCTGAGGAACAAAACCCACACAACACCCCCATCCTCTGTCCTCTCTGTACAAAACCATAACATCTCCATACAAATAAATTGATGAGTTGGAGCAAACTCCAAGGTCAGTGCATTGCTGAAGCCCTCCAGCACAGGTGGAAAGGTAGGTTTGCTCAGGGATTTGCTGCCCCTGCACCTCCTCTGACCACGCAGGGCCAGGGGGTGCTGCAGGGATCCTGCCATGCTACCAAGTGGCAGCGCACCCAGCTCCTTCAGCTCAGAGTTTGACCCCCTGTAGCAGCATGATGGGTGTCCCAGCACTATTACAGGGAAAAAAAGCACTTCCCTGCTGCACTGCCCAACACATCCCTCCAAAAAAGCACTCAGTAATAACACAGCCACATGGGTGGCCCAACAACCTTCCTACAACAAAGCTAAACCTGCTCCAGCTCAAAAGCAATCACATGAAACCTTGCAGCACCCCAGTAACCCAAGAGCTTGGTCCAACCACAGCCCAGGTGGAAACACCCCAGCACCCTTCTGCCTTCATTCTGCTTTCATTTTTGCCCTTAAAATGGCGTAACTCCATATAGACCTTAAAGGAATGAGAGTAAAGAACATGCCACTTACCTCTGGTGTTGGAAGACCATGACTATTCCAGGAAGGAGAGGCAACCCCACATAGAAGACCCCAGGAGGCTGTGCAAAAAGAAAGGGGTTGTGGCCCTCCTGTTTTTATAGGGCTGAGGCAGATGAGCAAACACCAGCAGCTGTGGGTGTGGGCACATGAAACCCATTGGTTCGTTAGCAAAACCCAACGATGCCCAGCTGCTCCTGCAAACCCTGGCAGGGAAATAACTGTTCTTTCCCTGCTGTAAGTGCTCTCCATCCACAGGCACCCAAGGGCTGCTCCAAGTGCCAACCCACCAGCCCCCAGGTTCAAACCTAGCGTGGGGGATCGCACGGGGAAGGCTTCAGGTGAGCTTCGTGAGGGTCCAGCGTGGATTTCAATAGCTTGGGAGTTCTAAAGCTTCTTTAAAGGGTCCTAAATTTGAATGATTACAGCAAGATATTAAAGGGAAGAAATGGGACAGAAAAGAATACTTGATGTCTTATTTCATTGCCTCACCATAAAATCCTTCTTTATTCCCTTGAAAGCCTTGCTGTCAACTGAAATAAAACTCCAGATTTATTCCTGGGGAAGCGTGTGAGTAATAAAAAAAAGAAAAATTAAGCACAATCAGTGGATTGCACAAGGGAAACCCCAAAGTTAACCCTCGTATTTCAACCCACAAAAATCTCTTTGCTGATGCAAACTGTTTGCATTTGCAAATGCAAAGAGTTAAGTTAGGGAAAACCAACGGCACGTGAACGACAGCTTCCGTGGGCACTGGGACGAGGTCTTTTGTGGGCGGTACAAAAGCAAACAGCAATGCCCATTCTTGGTGCTATTTTGTCCAAAATATGCAAGAAGCCAGTGGAAAGTGGAACATGCCGGCACTGCTGCATCTGTGTGTGCACATGAGGAGGAGGAGAGGGAGGAAGGCAGCAGCCAGCTCGGGGCGCGAATGCAAAGCCTTCTGGGAGGTGGTGGGAAATGCTGGGAAAGAGGAGAAAAGGGAACAGGGAGAAGCAACTCAGCTTTTGGCTGGTTCTTCCCAGTTAAAATGAGGACAGTATTAACAAAAATCTCTTTAAAAACACCCAAAACATAAAAACAGCCTTTTGACTGACTGCGTGAAAGTGATACAGTGAGTGATGTAGGTGGTATGGCAGGACACACCAAATCTAAGCCAAAGGGGATAAAAAAAAACCCTGCAAAGCTCTTGAAAGCTGGCTTTAAACGGTAGTGACATGTTTTGACACCGTTCCCTGACAACAATGGCCGTAATACAAACAAAAATCCATGATGTCAAGTATTAATACTGATGCTGCGTGAACTCAACCAATGTGGTCCCAATTAAATATCAAGTATGGTTATAATTTGAAAAATGACTGCGGAAATGTCATTGCAACATTCCCTGCTCGGGTCTCTCCCCGACGTCCACCCCGGGCCTGTGCGTTTCCCTGGTGGGATGCGGTTCCCACCTTCCCCACCCTTGCTGGTGGCTGCTGTAGAAACACCAAATCCAGTTGCCAAAATGCATGACCCTGACATGCATCAGGAGGGCTTTTTAATAGTAAGTTTATGTCCTATTTTACTCTCTCTCTGAGTTTTGAGCCATTGAGGAGGTGTCGTTGCATGTTTTCTCTGCAAATACGAGGGCTACAAAAACATCCTCTGTAACACTGAAAGCTGAGGTGCTTCTGCAGTCACCGGACTCCAGACGCTGAGACTTTATGAAAATCAAATGTACAGGGATTTGTAACACAACTCTAAGACTTGGCAACGCTACTCACTGGCAATAAATAACTACACTAACCAAGCGAAGCCAGACAATGTCCAACCTGCCCATGCAAGTGCGTGGGTGCCACAGTGCTGACAGCAACGAAGCTCACGCAGAAGTCAGCGAAGTGCCTGATTTTATCCAGGATTTCCAGAGAGAGTAAATCAGCCGAGACAAGCTCATTTCACCAGGACTTCTTCTGGCTGCAACTGCTCCTCAGAGCAAATGGATTCTTCCCAAACCATTCTGTATCAGTTTATTCCCTGGATGACAGACTGGGAGATCTACAGGACAGATCTGCACACAACTCATCCAACTCACCTCTGCCTTATTTCAAGTTACGGGAGAGGCTCCCAAAATTCAGGCCACGCTACGGTGTCTCCAACTGAGGATCCACCCCACCATGAGTTGTCCAAAACCACCATTTGTTTCTCAATCATCAAACACGTCCGGGAGCTACCGGACTCACAGACAACCCCTGTGCAGGGCTGGTAATGCAAACTGGTCCTACTGGACAGCTTTTAGGGCCACAATCTATTCTGCTCTTCCCACCAGCACTGATACCCATTGATTTGCGCTGATAACCATTAACTTACACAAACACAAACACGCACGCTCATCTCCATGATGTCTCCATCATGTTTTGTGTCATCAGAGAGATCACAGAGCCCTGAGCAAGAACAGCTATGGGAGATTTTCCTCTCACCTTCTCCATTCGCTCCCTGGCTCTCAAACTGTCCTCATTTACCCTCCTCCTGGAGACAACTGCAGCCTTCCAGCAACTCACTTGTTTTTCTAAGGATCGTGGCTGAGATGGGAGACAGCAGGCAGCCCTCTGGAAACCCCCCCTGGCTGCAGAGCACCCGAGCAGACACTGCTGCGGACTTCGGTCGGGGGCGGGGGGGGAGACAATTAAACACCCCCCCCTATAATGCGAATACTTTATTATCAATGAATGACTGGTATTAGCTTTTTGTCTGGGTATTAATAATATTTCAAAAAACCATACATCAAAATTAGGGCTTTCTCCTATTTTTGCTGTATAATTTTTCTTTTTTAAAAAAATCTGTATTGAAAGAATTATATAAGCCAAAGTGCATTTTCTGTTTTTTTGTCCATATACACATTGCACCATACATAAATAATTACATTGTAAAAATGACTCCATAATTACAAGTATAATATATATTTTCATATAATATATAAAACTTTATATTAAATCTAGGTAGATGATATTTGGGATAGTCTGTGTCTTTTTTTTCTTTTTCCTTTCGTCAGAGGCTGACCGTTATCGATTGTTACTGAGTAAGATCTCCAGCCAACAAGGACACGATGTGATAAACTGTCTTGAGTAACATGGCCCCCAGCCTTTGGCGAAGCTAATCCGCACGCTGTTCGGGTCGTAGGGCCCATCCGCGTAATCCAGATCGGCCGTGTGCTGCAAGAGGCAGGACTTCTCGTAGTCAAACACTTTGATGGAATAGCCCGGCATCACCTTGCGCACTATCAAAGTCCTACAGTTGGGGATGTCCAGTGTCGGGGAGTTGACGAAGATGGGATGCTCGCTGCGGTTGTAAGCCCACACACCGTCCGGTTCTTTGCTAAGTAAAATCCCGTAGCCGATTTTACTTCGAGTCCTTCTCACAGTCTCGCTCCTGTTTTCCAGGTTTAGCTGTCCAAGGCAGAAGCCGTTTCCTTGAGGTAGGTCATAAAATATACTGACAGACTGTTCGTACACTGTGTAGAGGCGGCCGACGCGCGTCCGGTGCTCCCAATAGGCCACGTTGCACCAATGGCTCCTCTTCACGGCATCGGGCGACGTACTGGCATCTGTGGGGGAAAGCAGAGGAAGAGTCAGGGTTTGCTGTGACCGCCTGGGAAAAGACAGGTATGGAGGGTAAGCAAATGGCTCCCCCCACCCATCGGCTTTGCTCACGTGAGAACTGAACTTGTGTTCAACCGAAAACCATCTCTAACTCAAAGACCATCTCCAACCCGAAGACCACCCCCACCCAAAGCCTATCTTCAATTATGTCAAATGCCACCAAGAAAGAAGTCTCAAGCAAAGGCTGGTGACCCAACGGGCCACCCACCAGCTCCCATGGAGCTCAACGCCTCTTTCTCTCTCTAATTTAATGTCCAATCCTGCATCCAGCAGCCGGGACCCTCTGTACTCAAGATATGCGCATTTCTACCACCAAGAGCTGGCATGGATACTGTACCACTGCAACTCAGCCACCCCTGAGCTTGGTGGGTCCCCAGGCTCCTCCAATGGTGTACCCCCATTTTCAGAGGCCAACTTGTGTTGAGCTGAAACACAGGGGATGTCCATGAAGTGCATGGATGACTGACACGAGTTTTATCTCCGCTATGTAGTATTCTTTGACAGTGATGCAAACAGTGGAACAGCAACTCTGAGGAGGCATTTCATGCCAAGGGGGAATAGCTGCTATGAACTATACATGTCCTCCTACAAAGCCATTGGAATTCTCTCCAGAACAATGAGAAATGTCTCTTCTTTCTAGGAATTATATTCAAGGAAGACAGGAGGGACACAGATTGCCAGAAATCTGTTTAATTTATGATGCCTCCAGAATTTATGATGCCTCCAGAAGGAAGATGGTAACTCTCAGCCATAAAAGAGCCCCAAAGAGGGCAAATTAACCTCTTGCTGAACATCACTCCTGCTCCTACCACACCAGTTAACAGAAATCCACTCTGGGATTTCAAGCAGGGAGCTCTGCTTCGAGCCAGCCCTGCTCCGTGCCCGGCATTAAGCTCCCTGACAATATATCACGCGCCTGCGGCCTGCTGACCCCTCTGCCTTCGTGCCATCATGTCCGATTAACTCGCACGCAGGGTGATGCCATTATTTTGCTTCAGAGACCCTATTGACGCACCGGATTTCAAGTGCAGCCCTACAGCCCCGTTTCTTTTCAGGCTCGAATTACCCCGGAGGGGAATGGGCTCTCCTCCCCATTAGCAATCTTTGAATTAAGCGGCTTTGTTAGAGTTTAACTTGAGTTGTAACTATACAAATTTAAGGGGAGGGAGATGGGGGGAAGGGGGGGTAATTGGGCAAGCAGGGAGGCAGCGGCGCCGGCGAGATGCCCTTTGCTGTGAGCAATGCTTACTGTCTTGCACTGACCCCTTCACCCGTCACAGGTCTAAACCACCCCCAAAATGCCAGGTTGGCCCCTTCCTTCCCCATCGTCTGTTTAAATAATTTTTATGACCCAGCACAGCCGCCAACAGCCCCTTTTCAGTTTGACGCGCATTTTATCCAGATCTAGGAAGGAAAACCCACAGCAATCAGACATTTCAACCCCACTAGGAAAAGAAACACCATTTCCCTGCACTTATGGCAGTCCTCCATGGAGGAGCGAGCCAACAGCTTCGTGCCCCCTAATACTGGAGGTGATGTTCTGGGCCTCCTAAAGGCATTGGAAAAGCCCTGCTGAATACAAATGGGCAAGATGCGACACTTAAATCCAGA